GCCTTTTTACGTGCCAGAGAGGTCCCCGGTGATGCTATGCCATTAATGTGAGAGCAGAAGGTGATTAAAGCAAGAGTTTAGTCTCTAGACATGGCTAAGTCTTGATGCTATCATTTTTGTTAGCTCTCAGTATTCAGTCAGAATCCTGACTTTTTTCCCCATATTAAACTGAAATAATATTTAAAAATCAGTTAACTTTTTTTTTTCTTTTTTTAGTGGCCCTAATCCTCATCCGTACAAATCTCAAATCAAAACGTATAACCAAGAATCAATTGCTGGAAGTGTATGTAAAGCCATATTTTTAGGGTTCTTCCACCGCTGCTGTGTCCTAGCCTATCCAGTAGATGGAGCCATATCCTCAGCTCACCGTGGGTGTCATAGTTTCGCCAGCAGAGGGCACTGTTTCTCCCTTTGGGCAGGACAGGTCACTCACTGGATCTGAGTGCAGTATCCTCGGTTGGCCTCTGCTCTTTGGAGGCGCCTTTGATGGGCTAAGAGGTTCGTCCGCTGCTCGGCGCCGACTCATAACAGTCTTTACGTCTGAGTTTTTCCCCTAAGAACCTATTTTATTCTTCGTATTGGTGGTAAAATAACACCGCGACGGTTCGGTCTGTGGAGCTAGCCGACGATTACAGTAAGGAATTTATGATGTTTGCCTTGTTTGAGTTTTTACGGAAGAAGCGATGTGTAGCTCTGTTCCTTATTAGCTTAGCTGATGTTGACTGCTCCTTCTTAGCCTTTTTTTGTTTGTACACCAAAATCTTTTTGTGATAACGTCACTGCTTTGAGTTGTTTTCGACATTTTACTATCAAATGGACGGTGTGCTCCCACGGATATCCGATAAACTGCCCCGAAACTGTTCGAATTTGAGGCGCTAAAGCTAATATGCTAATGCTAACATGCTGTGAATCAGGCTAGAACCGCTGGTTCATTTTTGATGGTTTAGCTTATTTTTTCACTCAAAATATCACACCATCTCCTATTAAAGGTTTTATTGTTTATGTATGTACGGTTTTATTTGTTATTTTGTCCCGATTCATGTCATTTAAACTGTTTGTTTTGGAGGTTTGTTCAGTGATAGCGCGCTAACGCAGCTACTTAGCTTCGGGCTAACAAAACATCTTAACGGTACAGGTTTGTTAAAAAAGTCAGCTTTTAGCTCAATATTAACCATATAATCGGCTTTTGGGCAGAGTTAGAAGATGAAAATGGTAACTCTAAACGTTTTATTGTGGTTTTACTGAGTATAAACGAGCCTGAAGTTGGTTCACGATTCGGAAATTAAAACAAATTGTAAAAAAAATGAATAAATAAAAAATAAAAAATGAAGTATCTTAGCTTCCTCTTACAAAAATTAATTCCCTAACAGGTTACATCTGGATCGGGTTTTTTCCACAGACTTAATGTACTTTAATCGAAGTTTTTATAAACAGATTGATGTTTGAACCCTTGATTTTGTTTAGTAATCATTGCATAGCATAATATTGACCCTTTATTTAATCTAAAACTAGCAAAAACATTAGTTACTGTCATGAACTGTTCACTTCTAAGTCAAAGTACTAACAAAACTGTTTTTAATCAGTGAAACCATCATATAGCCACATAAAATGGGTCTGAGGATGAAAACAATAATGGATGAATGGTTTACATTCATCCAGCATGAGGCTTATTCACATAAAGATTTGTTTGTAATGGAGGTAGAGAAGTAACAACTGATTTGATCCTACATCCTGCCTTTCATATTCAATTTATGTTACATATTGTTCTCTTAAGAAAACCGTAAAATACAA